AGACAGGATGGGATCTGCCAGGAAACTCATCGCTTTATTCCTCCTCCTTTATGTGAGGAGTTGAGTCAAGGGACTTGGGGTTTGCCAACTATTTCACTCACCACTGACACAATGCTAGAAAGGTTATTCTTAGATCTACAGTTTAGGTGACTGTGCCAGGCAGGAAGGTTTGAACACTAGTTATGAAATAAGACTTGCTTTATGTGACACAAGCTGCACACCGAAAGATCTGCATGATGGTAACCATTCAGCTAATACATATAACATTAGTTTCTACCTATCTGCATATTACAAACGTCCATAAAGCAACAAACAGCTGCTCGTAACTGCAGAACCTGCCGAAGAAGAAATTACATTTAGCTGACACTTTTATCCAAAGTGACTTACAATTGCTAAATAAATCAGAGGTCACACGCCTCTGGAGCAACGAGGGGTTAAGTGTCTTGCTCAGGGGACACAATGTGTCACAGTGGGGAATTGAACCCGGGTCACTCACACCAAAGGCATCTGTTTTCTGTACACCCATAGGGACACTGCTAACTAATTATTTTTTTTTAAATATGCTAGAGTGTCGGTTAATATTAAATAAATTGTTTCATTCAGAAACATTTATTAATTGTGATCCATCTTTAATCGCAGCACAACTGGCGTCTTCAGCCAAATGCAAAGATAACTCAGAGCGGCTCGAGTTTACTAATTAAGATGTCTCACACAGGAAACGTTCAGTCAGCAGACGCTGAGCCTCAACAGAAACATGACAGCAGCAGCAGTAAAGAACATCATTCAGTGTCGGCAGCTCTGCTGTCGGTGTAACAGTGTTTCTGAACATCATAATCTACTTTGTCTTTTTGTGTTTAAAAACTGCAGGAAAACCAACTGTCAAATAAAGATAACTTAAAAACACGAGGAAGCTGCTGAGAACAAAAACATGCTGAGAGACAGCAGCAGCTGTCAGATATCAACAGACCAAGAGCTGAATTCAGAGTCTTATCAAACTTCCTGCTTCAGCAGCTGTCAGTCAAAATATAAACCACACACACTCCGTCTCTAGTGCCTCAGTTTCTCCTCTCAGACAAGAGACAGACAGTCTTTCAGGAGCTGAGGGTCTATTTCAGGATGCAGCTCGTACTCGTCTTCTTCGTCCTCCTGTCCCACGTTACCAAGGTTACAGCGGTGGCCGGTTGCCACAGCGACAGAGACAAGGACCACCGACCGAGAGAGAACTGCACGAGTGCCGGCTTCAGCGACGTCCCGGCGGGATTTGAGCTCAACACCAAGGTAACACCACGAACCAGCTGACAGCTGCTGACAGAAATGAAACAACTAACTAACAACTAACAGTGTGCATGTGTGTGTGTATATATATATTATATATATATATATATTTATATGTATGTGTATGTATGTACTGTAAAATATGATCTGCAGGCTTTAAAAAGAAATGTAATGCTCTTTAAGCTCCTCAAAAATAAAGCATGTTATGCATTAGATTAAACACAAACCCTTCACACATCAACAATCTTAACAAATACTTGGAGCTTTCAATTACAATTTGTTTGTAAACATTAACTTCTACAGAGCACTAAGCAATACAGTATTACTGACCAGACCTAATACACAGATTTAACGGCAGGACTGTCAGAACCACCTGAACACAGACAAGCTCGTGACACGAGTTATACTCCACTATAAGGCTCCTAATCCAGGACTGAACACAGCACACAGATCGTTTTCTGAAAAACCATAACATCTAAACAGATAAGCCGGCCACACTGTTGATATAGTCTCTGTTCAACCTTTTTTTATTATAAATGTCAGTGGGATTTTAAATGAGCTGTTCTTATTTCTGGAACAGAAACCAGAAGTTCTGGTTTTCTTCTGACTAAACTTGTTTTCTGGGACGTGCAGAGTTTTAAAAATAAATACAGCAGCTCTACTTTACTGCCAAGATCAGATTACGACTCTTTTCCCATTTCTAAACGTATTGAAGATCTGACTGTCACAATGTTTTCTGTGCGAAGCAGTGCACGATTTTTATTTGGCTTCACAATGATCCAATAACCATGTCCAGGTAAATATTCCTGTATTGCCATAAATACTTTGACCCCTAAATGACATTTTCACTTAGGGGTGTACTCACTTTTGTTGCCAGCGGTTTAGACATTCCTGGCTGTGTGATGTGTTATTTTGAGGGGACAGCAAATTTACACTGTTATACAAGCTGCACACTCACTACTTTACGTTGTAGCAAAGTGTCATTTTTTCAGTGTTGTCACATGAAAAGATATAATCAAATATTTACATGTGAGGGGTGTACTCACTTATGTGAGATACTGCACATGGTTTTCACACCACCTACAGACGCTACAAACAGGTTTTATACTAACTGTTGTGTGTGAGGTCCGAACTTGACCCTGAATGGATGAAGTGTTTGAGTGACAGGAGGAGACCACAACGGATACACGAGTTTCCTGTTTTACACCGATAAAATGACAGTTAGACAGGAAACCCTGACAGCTTTAAATGTTTTTCTTCCTCTACTCTCTTTCTGTTTTAGGTTCTGTTATTTCCCAGCAACCAGTTCTCCGGTTTGTCCTGGTCCTCCTTCCAGATCTTTAGAGAGATCTATGAGATCGACCTCACCGGCAACAAGGTGCTATTACTAAAGCTAAAGCTTATAATGTGACGATAAATACTGGACCAGAAATCAGTGATCAACTCTACGTTCACTCAGAATTAAAAATGTTTCATGACTTTCTGTGAGTCCAGGTTCCTGAGGTGACCTCCAGCGTGTCTCCGATCCTGCCCAGCCTCAGCGTTCTCCGACTGGGTTCCAACCGTCTGAAAGCCCTCTCTGACGGCTCCTTCTCCGCCTGTCCAGGTCTGACTGAACTCTACCTGGAGAACAACGCCATCCACTCTCTGAGCGATCACACCTTCTCTGGACTCAGCAAGCTGGAGGTCAGCGTGGTAACATGATTGTAGCCCTGTTAGCGAGGACAGATGTGTCCGAACAAAGCATGTTAGGAGGGTTGGATGCACATTAGGTTTCTAAAGGAACTGAGCTTAGTGTGAAGGTTACATGTTAGAAGTTACTAAGTAGATAGTGAAGGTTTATAGTTGTGTACGTTCCGGTGTTCAGAGGTTTGGACGCATGAATGATCTGAGTTCTAGTTTCTTATCCAGGAACACTTGATTCCTCTCTGGTTCCCTTCTGACCAGTAGTCCTACCTTCTAGATCCTGGACTTGTCATCCAATCATATCAAGGTGCTTCCTGAGCTCATGCTCCCCCCCTTCCTGCCATAGAGACCCTCTACCTGGAGTACAACAAGGTGGGCAACACACAAAGCTTTGAAATTATTTCATTAAGTCAGATGAAAGGCTGTTTAAAGACTCACATAACTATGTTTTCATTGGTGTATGAAGACCTTACATTATGAACCGTTATGTTTTTATTACCTTTGAATGAGCCATTTCTATCTACATACACTGCGGGTCCTCTTACATGGACGTCACCATGTTTCAACAGTAGCCCAAACTGCTTTACAGAGTGTGTTTCATCACTACGTTGACTACGTGCGAAGAAAAAGAAGAAGGGATTGTAGTAGTAGTTGTCGTTGTCTGGTTTGTTAGAACTAAGAAGAAAAGTAAAATTTGGACAGAGGACCACTTATCATTTAGCATAACAGCCAACAGAGCGCATCGACCACCGAAGCTTCTCCTGCCCGCTTGGAAAGGGAGGGGTGAGCGGTCACTGATGGTGCTTTCATGTAATGTCGGAATAATCAGATCCCACCCCCCCTCCTTTAATCTTTATTGCAAAAAGAGGAATAAAAGTGTACATTGGACTTAAACAAGTGTAGAACAGTGTACAAATATATAAGAAGAAGCTCTAAAACTTTACCTGGCGTAGTCTATATTATATAAAGATATTAAAAGAGGACCATGTGTTGACAGTTTTCAGTCTTTTTGTTGTTGGATTCTTTGTAGTAGCGTCCATGTTGATTCCACATCCACAAATAGGGCCATCCATGCAGCGCGTGAATGAACCATGAACCGTTGGTTGCAACTTGCAACCCTCACCACTAGATGTCACTAAAACTTTAAACAATAATTTTACAGCTTCTCGGCAGTGGTAGAAGCTCGCAGCAGCTGTTCATATTTGCACCTGTAGGAGGCGGAGGTTGTTGAGTGTGAAACTACAGGACATTTCCGTTTCCGTTTCAGATCAAGGTGATGCCAGACGATTGGTTCAGCCAGAAGAAGGAGGTGCCGTACCTCTACCTCTCATCCAATGACTGGGTCTGCACCTGTTCCCTTGGTTACTTGCGTGAATACCTTGACGAGTACGAACTCAACGTCTACGTCCGGGATGGCACGATCATCAGGAGCGACGCAGAGAGTGTGGTGAGTACCACAAACAGAAAAAGAAGCAACAGCAACA